ATATATATATATATACTATATATATGTATATATAAAAAATATATCAAAATGCATGTGGGTACTCAAATGAAAGGTCTCAATGAATGTAACATCGGGATGAGCTTATATCTTTAAAAATGTCAATATTTTACCAGATACTAGGTTATTCTTTACATAATATAGATAATTATTTTTAATATTTCTCACCGACTTGAAATATCTTTAAGAAAATTTTCAACATTTATTGATTTATTTTTTTCCTTTACAATTAAAGCATCCATAATTTCATTGCTGTTCAATGAAGTTCGGGCAACGTGAAGAAGGTGTAACAATACAGTCGATTCAACAGAAAAACCATACTGAAGAACTACATTAGAATTACTTAGAATTTCTCTAAAAAATCAAAGTAAAATTTTTATTATTAAAATTTAGTACCAGGTATATATGTATCCAAAAATAACTTACTTTAATTTCTGGATTGTCTCTTGAAAAATTTTAGCTTTTGCTTCATCAATTTTGGAAATAAATTCTTTGTACTTTTCTAAAGAATTTACTTCGGGTGATTTGTCATAGTTGACTAAAATATCAGAAGAAATTAGACTGCAAAACTTGCCGGCTGCTTTTTCAGTAATTAATTGATCTTCACTTTCAACTGTAACGCGTGCTTTGTAATAGCTAAAATTTGTTTAAATAAATTATTATTTATTATTAATAATTAGACCAGGTTGTTTACTTTTATTTAAAAATAACAATTAATAATTAATGATATTAAATTTGTAATATTATGGTTGAAATATTGGTCCTAAAAAAAATTATTTAAATAATAGTTGTTAAAAATTTAATTTTAAAAAAAAATGTCTCTTATAATTTATTCTTAGGACCAATAAAAAAGCCGTAATTTAAAAATTAAAATTTTGATAGTTAGCAAAAATTTGAATCATAAATTATGAATTTTCATTTTTAATTTACATAAGAGTAATTTTTTTTATAAAATTAAATTTTATAAAATCTTTGTTTCAAACTTTTTTTATAAGACCAATATTTTCGCCGTAATATTAAATATTTAAGCCATTTATTTTGAAATTAAGGCAAAAATCTTGATCCTATTTTAATAATAAAAAAGTTTAAATATTTTGATAATAATTATAATTACTTTTGGTCGCTAACAGGGTAAGAGCCAAAAGCTACATCAGGAAATTCATTGGCAACACTTGTTAATGCATTAGCAAATACATCTTCTTTGCCATTTATGTACAATTCCTTTTTACAAAAACTTTTGTGTGCATTAAATATTTCCTGTAATTAATTAACAACTATTATATTTTTCTATAGAAAAAAAAAATTATTTTTTTTTACCTTACACAAGCTTTTGAATAATGGCTCAAAATATATCGGA